AACGAATCGAATAATTTACTATTTGAATTCGTACGAATAATAAAATCTACTATATGTATTCGATTCAAATTATTCGAATTAATTTTTTTAATAAAATAAATCATACTCAAATATATTGAAAAATTTTTTTATTAAAAATTTGATTTTAAACAGAAAAAATTATAATAATATGTAATCAATAATCTGATAATAAATAATATATAATCAAGTTATAAACATTAAAATGTATCTTATTAATTTATTTTATAATTTAAGCCAATTTTTAAGGCAAAGAGTTTTTCTTTTATTTTCTTCCTTATATGACATGCGGTTTTTTGACAATAAATTAGTTCCAACTGAGAAAAGCCTTTCACAAGCAGTTGATGTCTTGTATAGATAGATAATCCCTTGCCATTTTCGAGAGCATGGGGATCCGATATGCATTTGCCTTCCACCACCGAATAATTCTAATAATGTTTCTTAGTTTTAGAATTGAAGGATCTAAAATCTTTAAAATTTCTTTGGATATTAAATTAATCACATGGGCAAAGCATAGAATGTGCCCTATTTTTATTAATGGATATTTTAAAGAAAATGTATCAATAATTTATTATTAGTTGCATTATCTAAAAGTTATATAAAAATTTTTATTCTCTAAATTATAAATTTTAATTATCATAACAAAGGCTTTAAATATATTTTCACCTGAATGTGTTTTATTTATTGGACTGACATCCAAAATTATGTTATTTATTTTAAAATTATCATCAATAAAATGGGCTGTTAGCCTTAAAAAAGGAACCTGTGTTGTTAGTCCAAATGTCAGATGAAAAATTAAACTGAGTTTTATTTTTATATATTTTTCCTTTACCAGCTGTTCTTTATCTGCAAATATATTATACATGTGTAATTTAAAAGTATTGGAGCATAATGATTTTACAGAACAATCAAGATCACTTATAAAATTTTTAAAATCATTTGAATTAATAATTTTAAAAGGTATATTATTATTTATCAATAATTTTAATAAATTATACTTAAAATTAATTTTTTTTGAAGAATTTGGTGTAGACTTTAAAAAAATGTCAATTTTAATTATTTTTTTTACTAAGGTGTGAATGAAACCTCTTATAATGATTAATAAGAGGTTAGGTTGTTTTGCATTTACAATTTATAATATTCTTGCAATGATTGCAAGAAGCCTTTTCACCTTCTTTAAGGATTTGATATTGATCCCATATGATTGCTCTCTTTTGTGAGGAAATTTTCTCATCTTCAACATCAAGCATAATTTCATCAGAAGCATTCACCTCTAAATTAGGTTAGCTAACAATAATTATTGTTAGAGATGTAATATATTTTTATATACCTCTGGTTTGTTTAATTTTTAATATAATTTATTATGAGATTCAAAAAATAAACTTTTCGTGAGATTCAAAAAATGTGGCAAATAAAAATTTAAATTTTCACTTCAGAAATTTTTAAATTTGTGCTAGAATCTTTATAAACACAAACACATCACCTGTCAGATTGGCAGGTCAACAAATAGAAATGACAAATGTTAGATTTATTAAACAATTTATTAAATATTACGAATAATTCGTTATATTCGAATCGAATAAATGATTATTCGTATTCAGATAAAACAAATAATTTATTATTCGGATTCGTAATTATTCGATTAGATTCGAATTATTCGAATCGAATATTCGAATTATTTTTGAATAGGCCTATGACGAAGGTATTCAACAAGGAGACCCTTTGGGCCCTCTGATCTTTAGTTTAGGTATACATAACCTAGTTCATTGTCTAAAATCCTTTTTTAATTTAGATTTAAATATATGGTTTCTAGATGATGGTACCATTTGCAGACCTTCTAAAAATATTCTTGCAGCGATAGAATATACAAAGAAGAATTCTCTAAAAATAGGCCTTACTCTAGATAAAGTTAAATCTGAAATATGCTTTTTAAATTCAAATACTCTCGAAGTCCAAGGAAAATCATTAAAAAGTGAAATTAATCTTCTAGCTTCACCTTTAAGCATTTCCAACTGTGAGGTGTTCGTAAAAAATTTTTTGAAGGTTTATTAGGACTTGAATATTTTAAAAGAAATTCCTTCACACCAGAGCATTTTTCTTTTAAAAAAATATTTATTTTTACCAAAGATTTTACATATTTTTAGATCTTCTTCCTTTTTTTAAATAATGAAATTATTAATCGTGTTCATGAATTTTTTAGAAGTTTATTAGAAAATATTTTAAATATTAAATTGGAAGATTTTAATTGGGGTTCCTCACAATTACTCTCGAAAATGGGTGGTTTCGATTTATATCCTTTAAATCTTATATCACTTTCCTCATTTTTGGCATCGCGTTTTATGAATAACGCCATGATATCTTCTTTTATCTCTCCTAAGGATAACCTTTTAAACTCAGCCTTGACAGCCTGGGTACTTTAGCTCCACCTGAAGCTGTTTTACCCACAATCTTAAAACACCAATCTATTTTCGAACCTTTAATTAAAATTTTTTTTAAAATAATCTCATCAAACCCCCCTTTGGAGTATATTCAACTATTACAGAATGCTGACTGTACTAGTGGTTATGAATGGTTGGAAGCATTACCAAGTCGTAACCTAGGTAACCTCTTATCAGATGAACAACTAAGAGTTGCCATAGGCCATTGACTTGGATGTAACATTGTTCAACCACATACATGCATCAAATCAGTGGCGTATACAGGATTTTCTTATAGGGGGGGGGGATTTTTTGGGGGGCTTCATCCCCAAACCCCTTTTACCTGGTTTTCGGATGTTTTAGCTATTCTATTAAATTATTCATAATTTAATAATAATTGTATTTCTATTTTTAACTATTATTTACTAATTCGTGCTTATGGATATTACAAGCCTATTTTTTATAATTTCAAGTTAGGTATATTATATTTAATAAAGTTTTTTTTAAATGTAAAGGTTTTTTTAAATGTTGAAATAAAGTGTAATGTCATTTTTTTTATAAAATTTGCTTTAAAAACTAACCTCAGCTTAAATTCTCATACAATATAAGTAGAATATAATTTTTTTATTGAAAATACTAATAGTAGTGTGTATAAAATATTGACTAAAAAATAATTAAATTAACAAGTTTTTTTTAACTTCTTATCAAATAAAATATTATACAAAATATTTTCTATAATTATAATGTGATTTTTAATTTTCGTGGGAATGTTGCCAATTCATCAAGAATTTCATTTGTCTGGAACCAAATCTCTGTGTATGTTTAACAGAGCTAACCCATTTAGCCGAGATTCAGTACTTCGTAAATATGTTTTCAACCATCTCAAGTTGGAAAAAGTCCTTTAATTCGTACATGTTGTAATAGGCAAACATGCAAGAATATAAAACAACTTCAAATTATTAGGAAATTGAGCCAAGGTTTCTTTACACCGATTGAGCGCATCAATAGCATGCCCAGGTAAAATAGCTAAACGTAGTAAATATTTATACCACAATTCGAATTCACTGATTAAATTTATTTTAGTATCAATCTCATAGGAATAAAATTTTGCTAATATTTAATTTTACCAATAGTGGCATTAGAAAACGAAGAAGGATCTTTGGGTAATAAAACTTGAAGATTCCTAAAGACTTGTTTTTTATCTAAAAACCGTACTTTTATTTGCGATAAAAAAGTATCTAAGAATGGGATGAATAACATTCTTCAGTTGAGCCAATATTTATTTTCATCTCTGTATATTTTCCGCCAAATCAATAACCTAAACCAAATCTAAATTTGGTTTTTGTAAATTTCTACAAAGTAGTGAGCTAAAAATAATTTATTGATGCAACTAGCAGCAATGATAAACTCTGATTGGTCAATTGAATTCAATAATGATATCGCTTCTGACGACACATTACTTTTTTTCAAGCTTAGTCTTATTTAACTTTTGTATTTCTATTTCTTCTGTTCTACAAAATGGAAGTAAAAATGAAAAATATTTAAAAAATTATAGATATATATTAATAATTAAAATATTATTAAAAATACTTATTGATTCTACTCATTACTAATTTTGAATTTAATAAAATAAATATATATAATAATAAAATAAATTATCGTTTGATTTAAATCTCTCCATTTTATTAATATTTTTGAATAATATGTTGGAAAATTGATATTCAAATATTTGTAAAATTTTAATTGGAGGGGGGGGGGGGGTAACATTTTTATTAACTTAAAATGATATTTATGAAAATAGTCAAATTTGCGATGGGAGGGGAAATTTCCCCCTTCCCCCCCCTTATTGGTTACGCGCCTGCATCAAATGTAAAATAATAGTTGACTCCAAAGGGAGACCTAGTTTAAATTGTATATATAGTCAAGGCAGGCATGCAAGGCATGCAGCAATTAATTTAGCTATTAGCCGTTCTCTTATCAGGGCCCGAATACCAAAAATCCTGGATCCTACAAATTTATCATTAGATGATGGCTTTAGACCAGATGGCTTAACTACCGTGCCTTGATCTTTAGGGAAATCCTTAATTTGGGACTTCACATGCGTATCTTCTTTCCCAAAAAATTTAAATTCTAATCCAGTTGATATAGCCGAGGAAAAAAAACAATGAAATATTCCAAATTAACAAATTATATTTTTACACCGATCGTTATCTCTTCCCTTGGACTTATGCTTAGCTGAACTTTAAAATTCTTAAAAAATATAGGCGATAAGATAAGAACCCTTACATCAGAACCAAAAGAATACTATTTTTTAAAACAAATCCTACAAATAACTATTTTAAAATATAACTATTCATGTTTTTTGGGAACTTGTAGTCCCACCTCCATTTTTATAAAATAATTTTTTATTTTATTTTATATTGATATATTGTTTTCTATGCTTTTATTTTATACTTATGTTTATTGGTTAGATATTATTTAAATAGTTTTTTTTAATAATAAATATTTATAAAATTAAATTAAATATTTTAAAAAAAAAATATTTTTATAAAAATATATATTTTGCCAATATGAAAAAAAACAATATTCAATTTATTCCTATTTCAACAGTCAAGCACAGACACTACTTATACCTACTACTACATTGGAAAATCTTCCTGATAAAGGTATAGATATATATTTTATTTCTTAGTAAGGAATTATTTTTATATAGTTCAATCACTAACATATCTAAAAATCTCAAATTTGAAGATGAGGCTCATCATCTTCCTGATAAATATATTTTGTTTCTTAATAAGTAATTTTTTTTATATTACATAGTTCAATCACCAACATATCTACCCATCACAAATTTACAAGACAAGGCTCATTATCTTCCTGATAAAGGTATAGATATATATTTTGTTTCTTAGTAAGTAATTTTTTTTATATTACATAGTTCAATCACTAACATATCTACCCATCACAAATTTACAAGATAAGGTTCATTATCTTCTTGATAAAGGTATATATATTTTGTTTCTCAGTAAGGAAATATTTCCTATATCATATAGTTCAATAACCAACATATCTACCTATCACAAATTTACAGATGAGGCTCATCATCTTCCTGATAAAGGTATAGATATATATTTTGTTTCTTACTAAGGAAATATTTTTATACTACATAGTTCAATCACCAACATATCTACCCAACTCAAATTTAGTAGAGAAGGCTCATTATCTTCATGATGAAAGTATGAATTTTTATTTTGTTACTTATATTTATTGAAGTTATATTTTTATATTTCTCCCACAGAAATTATATTTATCTTACCCTGCAAATTTATTAGTATGACCTGGCAAATTGTTAGTCAGTTTTTTAAACAAACTCATAATAAGGTTGTCTTTTTGGCTCTGAGATAATTGGGTTTATTATATTATAGTACAACAGTTCATATTGAAAGCTATAAATTTTAATTTAAAAAATTATAGACAGCCTTTGTCAAAAAGGTGTTGCAACCTATTTACACCACAATTTCCATAATGACAATGAAAAATTAATGTGCATTAAAAATATTTGGGAGCTTAGGATTGGTTATAAATTTCCAGTGTCATTAAATATGAGAAATTTGGCATTTCAATTATCATTGCTAAAAATATATAAGTGGCTTGCCTACTCAGTGATAAAACAAGAGGCTTTTTGTAAGGTGTGTGTCATTATCTCACCAAGATATGCTGGGAAAGGGTTGCAAAAGCTATAAACATTATTAGTACTGGGTATACCAAGTGAAAAGACGCCTTAGAAAATTTTAATTTTCATCAACAAAACAAATATCATATAAATTCATATGAAATATTTGACAATTTAAAAGCAATATCAAATTGTAAAAAAATATCAATAACCAAAGTTTTGGATGAATAAAAATTTAAACAAGTTACAAATGATATAAAAAGGATAATGATAATTATTGATGCTAATATTTGACTAGAGAGGTAGAGCATTAAGAGCTCATAGAATATCTACTGACCACTCTTCTCATAATGTAGGGAATTTCAAGGAATTGTTGATACTTTTATGCAATAATAATGATAACTATATAAAGCTTTTTAAAAGCTCTGTTTATAATGTCCACTGCCTTAGTCCAAGTATTCAAATTGAAATAATAATCATATGCAATAGGTTCGTATTAAAAGAAATTTCTACAAGAATGAAAGCATCACCATTTTTTAGTGTTTTGGCGGATGAGACTTCGGATGTTGATAACATAGAGCAGTTATCCATAGCAGTAAGGTTTATTGATATGGAATCAGGTGATTTCAAAATTAAGGAACTTTTTGTTCAATTTATTGACTTACATCACATTAAATCAGAGACGAGAGCCAAAAAATTTTTTGCATTCCTTCAAGACCTAGTATAGCACAGCTCTATATGTTCACTGTGGTTCACACTAAATTTGATGATATCTGAGGCATGGGAAATTCGAGACATCCGGAACAGTTTACGTAAAAAAATTTTATTTAATTGGAATTTATTAGATTTTATTATGTATTATAGAAATAGATATCTATTTATAATTCTAATATCGCTCGAATCCTACATATCAGACAAAGAAAAAGATTCCGCAGATGCTGAAAATCTTTAGCAGGCTATTACGAAGCCGCAATTTTTAATATCCCCCAAGCCATAAAATTATTCAAAACAATAGGGCAAAGGTTATAATAACAGGTGATCCATAAGAAGGCTTCTACCTTCGACAAAGAATATCAATTGAAATCTGTCGTTCCAACTGCATATCCATACATGGGTCATTTACCTAAATATAAATTTTTTTAAAAAAATTCCACTTCTTTTAATTATATATCTTTATATTGATTATAGATATAGTATGTTAATATGAAATTATTATATTTTATTTGATAAAGGCTCTCTTACATTGTAAAAAAAACCCAAATAAAGTAATTTATTGCGTTTATTTTTTATTTAATTATACATATGATTTTAGCAAAATGTTATAAAAATTGATTTGGATATAAGAGAGATTATGAGTAGGGCAAAGGATATTGTTGAAATATTAACAAATATCAAAGAATGTTGGTGAAAAATTTAATGAAATATATGAGAAAGTAAAGGAGATTTAATATGTTTGGGATTGAAATTTTTAAACGTAGAGTAGTTTCTAGACAATCTAATCTCTCAAATATTGATGCATCTACGATTGAGGATTTATATTGATACATTTTTATTTCATTAAAGGAAAGATTTATTAGTCATAATTTTATTTTAAAAAGCTTTTATTTTCTTTTGCCGGTTGAGTCTAAACTGTTAATTACACTTAATAAACGAGAGGATATTAAGAAAATTTCAGAGTTTTACACTGAGATTTAATAGGCTCATATGATAAGTTACTTTGTGATGTCGAATTTTGTATAAAAATCTTGACAGAATAGAATATTCTTTGAAACCAAAAAATGCTCTGCAGGCCCTTTCCATGTGTAATTGCACTTTATCAAATCATTATTGCTTATTTTAGCTTCCTTATCAATTAGTACCTGCACTAATGAAAATTCTTTTTCAACTTTAAAAAGGTTAAAGACCTATTTAAGAAATACCACCGGTGAAAAACGTTTAACTGGATTAGCCCTATAAAATATTTCTAAGGAAATTATTCTAGATAAAAATTTGATTCTAGATGAGCAAAATCTCAAAGAATGTAGACCTCTCTTTATAAATTCAGTTCAAAAAAATGCAAAATATGATAATATATAATATTTATAATCAAATTTTTTAATAAAATTAATTCTTAGTTATAACATTTATATAATTTTTGTATTAATTCTTAAAATTTATACGGTCATTACTAATTTTAATTAAAGTACTGTGTATTTATATTTTGATAATATTATTTGCATAACATTTACTTATATTTTATGCAATTGTTAAAAAAAATTTTAAATAGAGTTTTTATACAATAAAATTTTTAATATTAAAATATCTACATTTTGAAATTTATTTTAAATAATAAAAATAAATACATGATTAAATAAAGGAATGTTATTTATGCTAAAGTATTTTTTAAAATAATTATAACATCACCTTAGATTGTGACGCCCCCCCCCCCAAAAAAAAAAAAGAATGTAGAAACTATTGTGGGGTGGGATTTGATTACTAAAATCGGACCTTGTAATAACTATTGGGATTTTTTTATCATTGATAGCGAATTGGCAGCTGATAATGCCGAAAGGAAAAAAATTGCGGATAGCATCCGAAATAAAATTAGGGAAATGATGGTTTAATTTATTGAGAGAAGAAAAGAGTCTTGTCGTTAATAATCATATTCTTGAGTATCCCGAAAAATTAATAATAGAGTCGAGTAACCCTAAAGCAAATAGTGGAATTGATAAAGATAAAATGATAAATTTTGAAAGTAATGAATGAAATAAAGTTAATAATGCTATACCTATTTTAGTTAAAAAATATGGTATAATTTTTGAAAAAAAGTTAGGATTTCTAAATGATTATCAAGTAAACATTAAACTTAAAGAAGGGTTTTCACCCATTTTTTTTGGCATGTCGAAGAGTTCCTTTTGTATGGAAAAAGAAAATATAAGACGAATTAGATAAATGGGTGAATGATGGGATTATTATTCCGATTGAATATAGTGAATGGGCCACACAATTGATCCCAGTGAAAAAATCTAATAGAAAAGTGAGGCTGTGTGCAGATTTCCGTGTTACTTTAAATCCTGGGGATGTGGAAGTAAAATATCCATTGCTTAGAATTGAAGAAATTTTGGCAAGGGGGATAAATATTTTTCCAATTGATTTTTCTTTTGCGTATTTACAGTTACCTTAAAATAGGAAATTCATAAATTGTTTACGATAACGACTCCCAAAGGATTATTTGCCTTTTGTAGGTTACCGCTTGGATTTAGTGTGTCAGCGTCGATTTTTCAGCGTATTATGGCATCAGTTTTCCAGGGCCAATAAAGAGTTTTTTTATATCGATGATGTGTTGATTACGGGTGTAACACCGGAGCAACTTAATAAACGTTTGGAGGAAGTTTTGGAAAGAATTTGTTATAAAGGTCTAAGGGCCAGCAGAGAAAAAAGTGTTCTTGGGGTAACAGAAGTTATCAATTTGGGACATCAAATTAATGGGATGGAGGCAGGCGCGTACGCAGGAATTTTTTTTTTGGGGGGGGGGGGGGGGATAATAAAATTTTTTAAGAAATATTATTATTTTTTAAAAATATCAAGCATATATTTATTAGGACTAATAACTATTTCTAATATACAATTTTAAATTAATGTGAATTATAAAAAAATTATATGTAAAGAATCACTTAAATGACCCAAAATAGAAATTTGAATTTTTTAAGCCTTTAAAATTTATATATAAAGTATAAAAAATTTAAATTTTAGAAATATAAATTAATACACAAAAAGTTTCTTAGGAATAATTAATTTTGTATGTTATATATTTACAATATAAAATCAATCTTCTAATTATTATCTTATCCTTGCTTGTCATCAAATGCCTATGAATATTCAAAATATCCAAACCTTTCAATCTACTTTCAGAAGTTGTACTTCTTGGTATGTTTTTCAGAGACCTGCAAGTTCGGCCCTCGGGCCGGACCCTATTTTAATTTATTTAAATATACCTGGGCCGGGCCCAAAATTTTTTAAAAAAAACATCCGGGCTGGGCTTGAATTTTAAAAAAAAACACCCAGGCCGGGCCTGAAAATTTAAAAAAAAAATATCCGGGCCGGGCTGTATATTTTAAAACAGCCTATATTTGAAATCTTTATTATTAGCTATAAAAATCAAAAATAAATATAATTTATTTTAAAAAAATCCGGGTCGGGCCTGAAAATTTTATTTATTTTTTAAAAAAAAGCCGGACCGGGCCTGAAATTTTCTTTAAAAAAATCCCTAGCTGGGCCGTAAATATTTTAAAAAAAATCCGGGCCATGCCCTGCAAATGTTACCTCTACAGTGCTCTGTTATTCTTCTTAAAAATAGAATGTTCTCTCATTAGTTTACTAATGGAAAGAGTTGCTAATATATAAACCCTTTTAATACATTGGGAATGTAATCTAAAATGTGTTTGAAATATTGCAGAGCATCCATAGCATTTTTTGGGACTATATCAACCCTAGTTAATCTTATAAACATAGTTATTCAGCTAATAAGACATCATAAGATACTTTAATATCTTCATGATAAAAATCCAACAAATATTTCTGAAAAAGGTTGGGAAGGCTTTTATGGAAGTAATATTTGCAGATTGGTAAGTGCTGCATGATGAATTAAAAACCATTCATTTATTTGGGTTATAAATGTATCTGTATCTAAGATATATTCTTCTACTGATCCTATATTAATGTTTTAACTATGAGCTTCCCTTGCTGCAAGTCGAGGGAGACAAATATTAAACACATATAGCTCTGCTTTTGACTTAACAATAACATATAAAATATGAAATAAAATTTTTCATCAACATTAGCCCTAATTTCCTTGAATTCTAATAAAATGCTCTCCGCTATTCTCATCTTCTTAATCAAGTCAATGTGATGTTTTTGAAAAGTAATACATAAAATAGTTGTAAAATTAAATAATACATTCTAATGAGAAAAAAAAATAAGCATTGAATCCAATAATTTTCTTGCTTCTGAGGAAATATTTCTTTCAGGCCATTGATATTTCAGTAATAGCAAATAATCGGCTCTTCTAACTCCATAAAAGCTGTTACTGCTTGATGGCAGAGACTGTATCTCGGTGGACAAGGTTGCAATTTCTTTCTCCCTGTTGGACAATTTTAGAAATAATTATTATTTGACTAGAAATTTGAAAATGGTAGATAAATATTTCGCTACTAAAAATTTGAAAATAATAAGTAAATATTACGCCGGAAAACTTGAAATCGGAATTAATTGATAAAATAACTTAGTTGATGAATGTGATAATAAATGATATTTTCGTCCATGGAGTGGACCCCGGATTATGGAAGGAAGAATCCCCAAATACTATTGGCTGGCAAAATGTCTGAAGGACATGGACTTGATCAATCTTACGTTTATAGATTTTCTTGCACTCAGCAAAAACAAGAAACATTTAAAGGAACATCTGCAATACATGCTTAAATATGGTTTAAACTAGAGCAGGAATCGTGGACGTATCAGACTATTTCTCACACTGCCTTATTTCCAATCTCTTATCCCCAGTTTAATGACAACTTATGTTTTGGCGCAATAGGAATTATGTTTTTGACGAAGTCAATGATAATCTTAAAACCGTGAATATTGATAATGATAACGATCTCCAGGCTCAATATAATAATGATAATAGTGAATAACATGGATTCTATAGACATTGCGTTATCTTCCAAGGATATACTTACCAAACATTAAGAAATTTTTTTTTCCCATCTCTTAAATCTAACCAGGTGTCAGGTACATTATTATTATTAATATTATCTACAATCTTAACACTATTTTGCCGGTAACGGAACTAATAGATCCCCTCTTTCTTACTCCTCTCTTCTTTACTATGCTAGCTGACTACATAGTGGTACCGTCCACTATAATAAAACGGGTATACATCATGTATAGGATCTATATACTAGTGAATATACATGGTGCACGCTACAACTCCTGGTGGGTGATGAAATTGCACTTCGTGCAATTTCTGGCGTGGTAATGAATGAATGAATGAATTATATATTTAATATGAGATAGGAATAAATATTAATAAATATAAATTAATATAAACAATAATATTTTTGAAAAATATATCCGGCATCTGCATTTTTTAAATTGGGGGGGGGGGGGAGATTTGTCCTCCTGCCCCCCCCCCCGCTGTGTACGCGTCTGGATGGAGGTG